GCGAGATTCAGCAAAGCCTGATATTACACGGCAATATTTCAGCATTTGTTTTATTTGCAAATTCTCCTCCACCGTTCGAGCAATTTTTCTGCCCCCCGAGCTACGTGCAACATTGAAAAGCATTTGAGACAATACGAATGACCATTTTGCTGGTAGTGCCACGGCCTCTACGTTCGAACCCCCATGTTATGTGGCTCCTTCTCAGATACAACGACCACGATACGGTCTCCATAGTCCAGATTTCATGGGTACGCCCAAGGAAGCTTGTCCAACAAGCCATAAAGAAGTGTAACGGCCAAATAAATGCTACTATAATGCATTTCGAGGATACGGGACGCCAGCGACTTTGTACTCGTAAATGTTTATCAAGATGAGCTGTCCCGGTTTTGTCTGGTCCATTAACAGCGCCGTTTCAGCGCTTTGAATATCGCGACTGCGTGCCAGGGGACGTTTCTTTTTCACCGGGGACCATTCGTCTCGATGAGGCTCTCGTTCCTTTTTCAACGATCTCGGCTTGGATATTGCGGGGAATCACGATTCTCGGAAAAATGAAAATCGTAATTAATTTCAGCACTCGAACGCGGAATTGCGGGTTATTGCGTCATAAAGCTGAAATGGAACTTTTCTTCTTCGTGAATCGTTTAATGGTATTTGTAACGTTTTATTGCTGGCGTTATGCGACTTCGGTATTACAATAATGGCTACCTGTTCGTTTCACTCGGCACGATATTTGCTTGATAAATTTTCGAATATCAAAAGCGATAATAATTGGAAATTAACATTAAACCTACCCATAGCCTAAATGACGCTTTTGAATTTTCTATTAAAAATTCCATGTTCAATTTTAATGCCATGAACTAATTTCTCCTTTAAGGAACAATATATTTTTCCTTTTGTCTTATTTTTGCATGTAGAATCATTTCCCTGCTGGTTGCACCAATTTTCGGGACACCCTGTATAATCTTCTATTTATCATTTGACCAGTCGTGATAGGTGTAATGACGATCTAAAAAATTCTCGATTATACTTAACATCGAGTAAAAATTGACTCGATCATTTTACAAATTCATAGACCCCTATAGATCCATTCTAAGCCTATTCAGAACACTGATGACGATCACATTTGCTAAAGAATCGAAATATTAATTAACAAGGAACCGTTGACTATAGACCAACGAAATAAGTACCATTAGAGTGTCTGATGGTTAAAAACTCGCCTACAGCGTTGAATAAAATCCCATAATGCCCCTCTACATAATATACTGCCGAAGAGAGAAAGATACTGAATCATGCTTCTAAGTAAGACGTACTCACCAGATGAGACGGCCAAGCGAAATAAAATCGCGACGATATAAAACACAGAGGCCAAGTGACACGCAAGAAAGCACAGGTCACAAATACTCGCCAAATTTGGACCTCGGCAACATGGATACCGATTTAAACACGTTACACCCCGCCGCGCGTGATGTCACCACGAAATCTCGTAAAAAGCCAAAAGGAGTAAAATCCCTGTCCCGAACCTTTTGTACTACTCCCGGTGTCGCAACGAAGAAGGACACAGCGTTTTGTCGCACGCTTTGGTTACCGCAATCTTCGTCAACGATCTCCTACTCGAAGCTCTAATACCCCTATTGTGAAACATCCAGCGAGATTACGTTTCAGCCAGTGGTCTAACAATGCGCATGTTCGATCAAAGAATTCATAAATTCGCGTGGATGTGACAACAGCCTCTAATGTGTTCCTGTTACACAACCGTCCTTATCTGGCCGGCCCGTGGTATTACAATTTCCTCCCTGTCTGTCAAGCAGCGAGAAATGGTACGAGAAATGGTACGTAAGGTATACAACACGCACGACACCAGCAGGATATCTCGTTCCCCGATGTGGCAACGATCGCAGCGCTGTGCCGTACTTACGTCGTCGTTACACGTTCGCGACGCGCGCAATCGACGAACAAAAGAGTGTGACTCTGCGCAGGCGGCAGAGGGAGGGGGAGCGCGATGAGGTGGCGGAGTGGGGATGGAAAAAAAGAACCGGGTGGGGGAGAAAAGGGGCATCGCGAAACGATCGTGCGAACCCGTATCACTGGCTGTGATGCAACTTGCACGCGTGTTGTTCCATCGCGAGAAGATTCGTTCGACAATGAAACTCAAGGTCGTTCCACTTTCCATGCTTCCCAGGAACCATTGCCGTTCCACCGCCATTTTTATTATCTACGGCGCGCATCGTTGAGCAGTGGTACGAGGTGAATAAAATGATATAATTAAATATACATCCCGCGAAAGCGGGCATGTACCATTTCCCCTTTAGTGTCGGAGATAACTGTATAAGGAAAGGTATTACGGGTACGGGTTTACGGGTGAACGTAAAGTTTTACTTTGGACGATCTTTTATAAGGATCGAGCCGCCTCGATCCTCGCTTATATTTGCTAGCGAGATTGCTTTTTAAGGCGTCACAGTTATATCGTTAAGGATGCCGGGATGTTACGACGAGTGTGGGACTGTAATTAATATGAATTAAAATATGGGAAATTATCGTGTGGAAAAATCTTGCGAACCGTTGAGCGATGGCAGATTCGTTGATGCAAAGTTAATATTCAAATTATTCGAACAAAGCCATCGTTGATGGAATTTGCATGGTACATTGTATAACCGCAATTACGAGATTTCATAAAATATTGGGATTGTTTGAGATACGAAAGTATTCATTTCTTGCCGTGTAATAAAGTATTATAATTTTAAAATAGAAAGGATCTAATTAGCGAGCGCTTTAACGACATAAAAGAATATTAATTGCATTCCATTTTATGTAACTTTTTACACGTTTAATTATCAGATTGTGGAAAGTTTAAATTACATCTATGATCTTATATTATGCTATTATTATACTTATACAGTTCGAATAATTGGTTTAAATACTATAAAACGCGTCGAATTAGTTACTAAATTAACATTCCATAGAAAGTTACCAGCTGAAAAAAATTCCCTACCACACGTTAAACTAGAATTCTAAATAGCCACTATTATGCATCCAAATATATACCATGAAGCAATAATTACGTTCAATTTTACATAATTTTGTACACAACTAATTATCAAGTTGTGAAAAATCTGCATCACGTGTATAGTATATGCAAGAAATTGTATTACACGATATAATATTAATATATTGAAATACCATAGTTACCACTTGTTACATCGTTGAATTAATATGTACTCCATGTATCAAAACTTTCTTCAGTTACATATTTAAATAACCAGCATTAAAAAGATCAAGTTCAAAAGCGCGTTTAAGAGCCGACGTGACATAACCTCACTTCACCGTTACGATCTTACGCAACAAATGCTCCGCGCGAAATATAGTATAAAATCCGCTTATGCAATACGTCTGCCGGTATCCTGGAAATATCAATACAAATGGCAGGAACACTTTGCTCTTACGGTAACGGTACCACGGCCAGTATATTACGCGCGCCGCAAAAACGTGGAAAAAGGGAAAAAAGGAAATTACGCTTAGTCGACATCTCGGTCGGTCGGCGGCGACAGACCCCACGCGACGCCAATAAAACCATCGATTTTAACTGGAAATCGAACCGCTAGGCGTCGCATGCCTCGCAACGCGAGCCGATCTCTACAAGCACGAAGAAATTCGCCACGATTCCACGACGCTAATTCACCGGGAACGAATAGTATCCGTTCTCCTGTACGCTGTCAAACTATTGATACTTGTAACCGGAGACGCGTACACGCGGCGAACTTCACTTACCACGCCCGATTACGTTTCCAGAGAAACTATTAAGGGCGGTTCGCTTCTGTCGGAGCTGAACAGTTCAGCTTCGAACACAATAGGACCCCTATTGAATAAGCCCACGTCCCTCGTAGGTCGGCCCTGGTATAGGCACGTATTCTGTTAGCCAGCCGGAGGACTCGAAGCGAAGTTCGCCAGAGCTGCTGGTACTACGGCCACTGACAGGGCTACGTGTAGTAGAGACGGCACGATACGACCAGGCTGAGAGCGTGTTAGTGTCAGTGGGCCTCTTACGCTGGCCTCAGTCACGCCGGGCGTCAGTGACTTCGCGTCCGCCGGTTCGATCGGTTCTTCTTCGGGGCCTGAGGAGCGCCCCTCCGCGAACGTTCGCCCCCTACCAAATCGCACGACAAGTTTCACGTCTACAACTTGTCGTCCATGCACCTCCATTCGACACTCGTAACGCGCGGAAAGACCCCTTTTCACGGGAGAAACGAATTCTTGGAAATTAAAAGGAAAAAGGAAATAGAAAAATAGAGTGAATTTTCGTTGGTCATCGTCAGTCGAGCAGAGAGGAGCCTGCACGTGCTTCTTGGAGTATACGGTTGTTAATTCGTCCGAAAGAACTGCCGGACTACCAAGCCTGTTTCTTGCCCCTTCTTTCGACGGTAGATCCTGCTCGGAGCTACCAGGATGCAGTTCAGGCTCAGTGATCGAGGAGTCTGAAGGCGAGAATCGCGAAGGCTGCGAAGCGATAAAACTGAGGTACATCCCCTGAGCCACGTGAGAAGTTACATTAAATCATAAACGCCACGGGAACCGAGCCACGGGAGTTACGACTGCTCTGGCGGAGTCCGAGGAGCAGACAGCAGTTGGCACGTCGGTAGATCGATCGGTTGGTCTATCAGCGGTCCGTGGTTAGCAAAGGCGACGGAATTTTCGTCGATGGAACCTGGCGAGTGCAGATTTCTCACCGTGAATGGCACCCTGCGTGGTCTGGAGGGTTTCGAGGAAATTCGTGAAACCGGTCCAGGATCGAGCGAACGGATCATCAGCTGTTTGGAAGAATGACGCAACGTTTTTCTACTGCGAGTATCATCTTTGAGAAGGTGGAGATGATCCATTGGTGCGAACAGTGCGACCTGGAGGATGAGCTGTCCGCGAAGGACACGAAGGCATTCAAGAAGAGGATTTCCACGGCGCTGAGTCAAAGGATCGGTAACGCGAAGGATTAAGCGAGTTATCCCCAGGGTTTTGCAATAACGACCGTCGAACCGTGATCGTTGATCTCACTGCGTGCTGTTGCTTGCGGTAACAGTTAGTGTACAGTGAATGAATTCTCGGTCGCGCTCGATGACTGCAACGATCGGCTTTCAGCTTGATCGAGATCGATTCTGAAATCCTGGCCTCGCCCGGTTGACGATCCCGCTATTGTTGCTCGTGATAGTTACTAGCTTCTCTGCGGTACCGTAGTGGAAAGTGACAGTGACGGCCAGCCCCGAGTGACATAACCGAAGAAAGTGTCTGAACCTGTTGCTAATTGACAGCCAGTTTCCGTCTACGTGCTGGTAATGACCAGATGTCGCGGAGATAAAAATGCTGTCAAAAGCAAACTCGGGATTCGTTCTTTCACGGTTCAGATCAGACGACCTGCCTCTCTGGAAAGTTCTGAAGAAACGTCTTAAGGTAATCCGCAGAGGATACCCGAGTCTCCCGTGAAACTGTCTCGCTCTGCCCATGTCTAACGATGCACGATCGTGTTGCCGATTCGCGAAGAACGTACGGAGGCCTGTGTTTTCGATCCAGTTAGAGCAGAACCAGTGTAGAGAGATAATAGTGTAGAACAATGTCGTCGAACGGTGAATTTTCGACGATGTCCAGCGAGGAGGTGCCCTCGCTGCCAAAATCCTTGCCCAGCTCTAGGGAGGCCACCGCGGAGGGTAGTTCCGGTTCCAGCGGCGGCTACATGCCACTTCGAGAGTTCCTGGATCGATTCTCGTTACCCAGAGTGGTCAGACTCGAAGGTACCGGCGGCAGGCCGGTGTTGCTGTACAAACAGCAACAGAGATCGCTCCGGGTTACTGCCACCCTATTGATACATCGTTATCGGCACGATGTCAAAGTGGGACCGGAAATAGTCATCCCAGAGGGTTATCCGGGTAAGTTCCTCGCTTTTCATACTATTTTCAACCGATCATGCTATTTTTGATCGATGGCGTTTAATTATCGTGATCAGTACCTCGTACTAGGGTGTCTATTTGAAGTTGGCGGGATTTAAATTTCATATTGCATTGTTCTCCTGATCAAACGTATTTGTACGAGGTTAATGTAGATTTTTAGGTCAGTGGAGGAGTTATTGATGCAATTGTAAGTAGGATTTCGACACACGGTACTTTCAATTTAATAGATTCTGCTGGTAACATCGGTCGTCTTTGACCCCCTTTGCCTGTTTAGGATTGTTAACAAGCATATTGCACACTGCCTCATAATTAGAATCGGGAAGATTCATTTGAATGATGCATCGACTCCTTTTTCGAATTTGACATAGATTTGTTCCGCTCAAACGCAATTTGCGTGACTAATGCTTGCAAAATGTGCTAGATGACAAACGCATAAGGTTCCGTTTAATTTAGATTAATTATAATTTATAATCGGTGAAGAAATTACCTCCATAGCTACATTTTTCTTTTAATTTGAATTTGAATTTTAATTTTCAGCTTTCACTGTCTGTCGAGCCTATCGTAATCGCGAATGAATTACTTAAAAATTAGAAATATTGTAAAATGATTCTCGTTGCTTAAAGAGATAGTAGAATTTTTTATAAACCAGAGAACTGCCATTAATACTGCCATTACCCTAACTCAGTTAAGTTTAAATAACCATTCGCGTCGTTTAATCAACATCTCCCATGATCCGAGCGATCGGCAGTAAATTATAAAAAACTAGGGATTGCAAACACGGCTATCCCCATTTCTTCCACTGCACCTCGTATATTGTACAAGTCTAATCTCCATTTCACTTACAACATCAGTTTCACTAACTTCCTGTTCATCGTCGAACGCGATAAAACCGAGCATCCCTCCCCTCCCCGGCCGATTTTTCTGAATCGAAGATCGAATCAGTGCTCACGAAACCTGTTCAATGGCAAACAATCGAAGAAAAAGAAAGAACTGGAGAGGAACAAAGAGAGAAAAAAGGGTCGGGCAAAAGAAGACAGCAGGCTTACTTATAATTGATAGTGAACCATAATCGTCGGCAACCAGCGGTTAGCTCTTAATGGGCCCGGTATCCGGTAGACATTTTCAGGAAAACGTAAATTATGCCCGGCAAAGCAAACGGGAACGGTTGTGATAACCAGCTTAGATCACTGAAACAGGTTATACAGTATGCTCCGCGAACGCGTCGACAACGTTTCAAAGAGGTCGCTAATGCTCCACGGCGAGAACCCGGTTGCTCGCTATCAGAACCCGTCCTCTTCTCCTTTTGAATCGTAAACCACTTTGTAGCAATAAGTTGCAAAACGGGCCCGGAGACCACGACCGTGGCCCGACCCCTAAGCGGCAGATATCTTCCCCGCGAGCCCTCCATATTGGTTTTCTGACATTTGCAACGGAAATTACGAGGCAATAAAGCGGGGTAACGCGAACCTATTAGTTTGAACGGGCGGGAATAAAGCAAGGAAGGTTTAAGAGCAGGGTGGTTACTTGTACGAACCACTGTCCCCGTAACGACGCCGGGTTTCTTCGAAAAAATCACCCGCAGATGGATCGATCCTGCAACGTTTTGCTCATTTTACTGCCGCTATCAGACAGAGTTGCGAGTATATTTATGGTTCAGACGGATATCTTTCGGACGGTAGAGCTGGGTAGGATTTTCTTGCTCATTTATTGTGTGGGAATTACAAGGGATAAGGACTTTGTCACTCTGAGTAAGTGTTTTGAGTCGTTAGAAAATTGCTCGTTTGTTAACCCTTTGCGGATCACCGTCGCGATACAGGCGATGACGTGTCTTCAGTTATTGAGAATAATCCTATCTTCATCAATTCCTGATACTTTTCAATTTATACAATTCACCTCAATTTTTTATTAATAATGGTTAACCATGCACCTTATACAACGCTGTATTATGTGAAATGAAAAATAATTCACCACCAAATTATTCAGAATTTTGTTAAATCATGACGCGATCTAGGAACAGGTGATCCTTTACAAAATAAAATGGAGAAACAAATAGGAAGATATACATAGCACGGCTTAAAAAGTTTTCAACTGGAAATTAAGTAGCAAGTGAACTTTGCCGATAAAACTGTGTAATGAATTTTTATAATACGTCATTGTTATTAGGGTATATTTTATATATATAAAACCACCCTCTGTAACGTAAATTTTGCTAATATTACCCTTAAAATTCGTTATTAAATACCGAAGAGACAATTTCTACTAAGTATTACAATAATTTTACTGTTTCAAGGATGATATTTCAACCCCCTTAACGTTCTGAACTTAGAGTCGAGTGGTACAGTCATCTACAAAAATGCCCAAAGGATATTTGTCGAAATAACTACGCGATTAAATGATTTCGTGTTAGTTCAAACGATTCGGAATTTAATTTTGACCCCAATGAAAACAGTACGTCCTCGAGCACTCGCGACGATCTAATGAAATCGTCACGAGTGGGCATGGCGGTTAGCATACCTGCCTGTTACTCGATAGTTGCAACATGGCAGCGTTATTGAAGCGACGCCTAACGGATTAACCTGTCGATGGTTGATCGCGAGGAAAGGAGGTTGCGATGGCAGTGAGGTTAAAATGGGGAAAAACCTGCCACGAATTTCGTATTTATAGGCGTCTCGGTCAGAGATCGTCGATTCATCGATGAAAAATGCCACGCTGATTGCGAGACTTTTACTATTGGCGTCGGTCGGCCCACGTGGTGAACGATCAGTGAATGAATCACTTGGTTAGAGTTGTTTAAATAATCCAGCATTTGCGACGGATCTACACTGACCTTTCCATCTCGAATCAGCGTTAATGTATGTGTATAGTGAGAAACATAAGACACGGTTCATTAATGAGCTAGAACGTTTTGAAATGTTCCGCTTGTAGCATGAAATGTTTGGTTATGTAAGGGGATTTCTTTGTGAAGCTGTACTATTATTAGAACTTGGGATTTAATGTGAGAAATCGGTGTTTAGATTAGATTATGTTTGTTAAATTTTGTGCATAATCAAACTCGAGTATTATTCAGAACATGTTAAGTTTTCTTTTAAAATAGGTTATGTGTATCGAATTTTGTGCAACGTGATTGTATAATATGCTGGGATTTGAAATAGGTTATGATTCCTGAATTATTTACCATATGACTGGGATTGGGATTTAAAATAGGTTATGTCGGTCGAATTTTGTGTGACGTAATTGAGACTGAAATTTAGAATAGGTTATGTTCGCTGAATTTCGTATATGGTTGAGGTTAGAATTTAAGATAGGTTATGTTGATCAAATTTGCAATTTAAATTAGGTTATATCTGTCGAATCTTCTATAAAACGATGAAGATTAATTACTATACATATTGTTTGATTCTTAATAAACATTAGCTTGATTTTAGGTTCTTTATTTTTCGCGAAAAGTAAATAAATTTTGCATATCCTTAACACTAGGTTTACGGATATTTCTTATATACCTATTTCTAGAGACACCCGTTAAATCGACGGACAAAGGAAACCACGTATTTCCTTTAAAAAAAAGGAAGATTATAATAAACTTAATGTAAGTCAATTAAATCTGTGAATATTGTATAATTGGAGCAACCCATCCGTCAAATTGGCAGGCTCCGCAAACCAAGTGTTTAACAAGGAAATAACAGTTAACTTTACCTTTATATCTCTACTAACCGTTACATGAAAATATTAAAAAACAATCGCTTCGAATTTTCGAAGAATTTAATTTAGACGCACACATAGCAATTTAAGGCAACGAATTATTTCGACGAACTGAAACTGCGATATATCGATTACCTTATGCAACAGTCCTGCATGCATAAACAACCTGTTACGTCTATTTACTATGTACAAGAAAGCATATAAGTTGCTAAGCTGTAAAACGATCTCAATTGTCAATTACAGTTTGCCGTTACGTTCAAGACCGTAAAATTAATGCTTACACCTCTGGCATCGCGAGGGGAAACGTAAGAAAACTCAACCAGGTTGCCTAACTTACTGACAGCCATGAAAGTTTCGCCGTTATCCTCGACGTATAAGACACACTCCGAGAGGTCTAACGTGTTCTCTGAAAAACAATGAGCACTTCCTTCAGGCGTGTGTCGTGAAACGAAAACGAAAAAGACACAGGCTCTCCTCCATATTGTCTCTAGGGACCGTTTGCTCACCTACACCGATATTGTAAATTATTTCAACGGACGATCGTTATCGTCGACAATAAGGATGATCATTCCACGGAACCTACAGCTCGAGACAAATTGGCCTGCTCCAATTTATCGTAGCAAATAGTGCAACGCACACGCCTAAGCGAGCTTTACAGCCCGCTCGTAAATATGCAGTTCGTGCTGGCCAGCGCAGGTTATATCGAACAGGCACTAACAGTAAATTGACTAAGGAAACATTATTTAACGCCTACGAATTCGCTATAAGTGCGGCACAATTCACGATGAGCCCCGTGAGCATGATAAAAACTCGACCTGTGCCCACGTGACACAACCATGCTTCCACTCGTTCTTCCTCCATCGTTTTAACGCACTGTCCAACTTGGGATATTGCAATGTTATATGAGCGGATAGCGACGAAAAAATTCCTTCACAGATAGCCTGTGGTTCGAGAAAGTGATTTTCAGCGAAAAAGGAAGTGAAATGCAAAAGTTATTAGCGCGGTTAAGAGAGGGGAGAGATTGCTAGTCGATCGAGAGAGGTTAGGGGCACAAAATTTACTTTTATGATTTAATTTAGAAAATTGACATTTATTATCATAGATTTTTTTTTTTAATAATGGCGAGTGGTGAAACGATATTCGATATGATTTTCTAATATGTATGATGACTATGAAGACCCTGTCTCTTTTTCTTTTTCTTTTTTTTATGATAGGAAAATAAATTTCGGAATGTATCAAGTTTCCGAATAACACGTTCCCCAAAATCGATTAAAATTCGT